ACCGAAATTGAAGACTATGGCGAAGCAAAGATTACGAGTTCCCGCACTCTTCCACTGTCAAGACGACGATCAAACCAGCCGTCCGGCGAAGAAGGCAACCGATTTCTGCGGCTTTCAAAATCCAAAGAATCAAAAGAAAAGTCTCCTTTAAAAAAAAAATATTAAAAAATTAAATTTTTATCCCTAAATTTGTCATTTTTATCCTGAATTTTCAATTTCATCCAATAATTTGCAAAAAAAATATATATATATATATTTTCGAACATTTAATCTTAATTGTTTTTGCTTTAAAAAAAAAATTAATATTATATTTGAAAAATATTTATGAAAATTTTAAAATAACATTTATATCATTTATCTTTATAAAAAAAAAATTATTACAACGATAAGACATTTTTAAATTATCTCTAAATATTTTAATGTTATTTTTATTAAAATTGATTGATATTTTTGAAATGTGGTACTATAAGAATATATTTTTTATTTTTTTAAAAAAATTTAAAGGTTTTTTTTTTTATTTTTAAAAAAATTAAAGTTATTAATAAAAACATTTTTAAAAGTGAGCCCATTTTGAAAAATAAAATAGCTATTTATGTAAAATGGAACCTTATGGGCCTTAGTGGTAGATTGGGCTTTTCAGATGCAGCCCATTTTATAAATTCTCAAGCCTTCTATAGATAATATTTGAATTCGAATTCGATACTTGATGGTCCTACCATTTCTGGATGTGATATGGTTACTGTGAGATTTCACACCAATTGCAGAGGAAAATGAGTGCCAGCGAAAATGCTGAGTCCAGGGTGGATTGTGAGATCATACATCGATTTGAGATGGGAACGAACTGTTCTTCTATAAAGGCGTGGAAACTTATCTGTAATAGACATGTTTTTAAACCTTTGAGGGGAAGCTCGGAAGGGAAAACCCAAATAAAATAATATCTACTAGTGGTGGGCTTGAGCTATTACAAATGGTATTGGAGTTGGGCCCCAAATGGGCGCGGATTGTGAGATCTCACATCGGTTGGAGATGAGAATGAAACATTTTTTATAAAAGTGTGGAAATCTCTTCCGAGCAAACCCATTTTCCTATAGTTGCTAGCCATGAGTTTAGGTTGTTAAAAGTCACGTAATTTACTTCTTATTTTAAGAGTGAAAACTATTTCTACTTAACAACACAGAGTCCTTTTAGAATGTTTTGTCCCCACTCACATGCATCTAGAAAAATTCGTAAAAGATCACCCAAACAGATAATTGAGCCACTAAAAATGACGATGTACCTTGTTGTTATAGATAATAACTTTCATTTCCTTTAAGCTATTATTAATCATCGTATCAATAGAATCACTCTCATTCGAATACAACATTAGTTCATTCACGTACCTCTCTTTTACTCATATGTCAAATTGTAGCTATATGCTACTTTAGGGTATTATTTATAGAAGGTAATAAATAAAGTCGAAAAAAGATTCAATTCAACCGAGTCGAAGGCTATTTTGGGTATTTTTTAAATTATTATTATTATCATCATCATCATATCATTATTATTATTATAATTCATAGCTTACCATTTATGGGACAACAACATTTATAAAACAATAATAAATAAATAACCGTAAAAAAAAAAAAAAAAAAAAAAAAAAAAAAAAAAAAAAGAAAACATGTCGCTATAAATGAATCAATGGATGAAGAGAACTGTTTATGTGTCAGTCACTCACATGATGACTACTTCATCAAACCCATACATTTTTTAAAATTTTAAATAATATTTTAAAAAATTAAAAATTTAAAAAGAAATTTCCGACAGGTTTGCATGTTGCGTAGGTACGGTGTTCAGAAATTGGTGACAGGTTGAGAACCAATTACGTGGCCGCCCCACCCACCAGCGTAACCAATTTTCCCACACGCTTCTCTCGCACGTGTTAACTTCAAATCTAACTCGGTCTAAACTCGGCTCGACTCGGTTCGGTTGGTCCGATTTTTTCCCTACAATTATTAACAAAGAAAGCTGCAACAACATGAGGTCCTTTTCCTCGATAAGTTCCCTTCTTTTTGAGCTAACCTAATTTCTTCAATTTTTTATTTTTTATTTTTTTATGTCATAATATTTTATATATTTCAAATCTCTTATTTTAAAATTATTGTGTCAACTTTCGAATCTTTCTCGTGGACGGAATTTAACTTGATTAAGACAATATTTTAAGCTGAGAAAGAGACGAACAACTTAATAGATTTGACTTGGAAAATGATTCATTGACCGGACGTTTTTAATGTTGAAGTATTTGTAAGACATAAATGTTTGAGTTTATGGGCAAATTTGTAATTTAACTTGATAATAGAATTATTGAGAAACATCCAATTTGTTATGGGCGAAGATGGAGCTTCGAAATTCACAAACAAAATTGCCGAGAAAACCCTAGAAGGATCGAGTGTGTAGAGCAAAGGTGGAAGGAGAATATGTGACACTTGTTTTAATCCAGCGAATAAGTCAGGCATGAGAAACTCGGACTTTTTGGACCATGTCAGGGTATGCTCGAGCCTTGAGTCACAGTTGGGAGAAATGTTTTAGAAAACGTGAGTGAGGAAATACATCAGAAATTTTTTGAAAGAAAACAATGTTATAAGCTAAAAGTGATTAGACATTAACGACTTTGATAGCATATAACTGAAATAGTCATATCCCCTATCGTACATTTTAGGGCATTTTAACCTTGACAAGTATAGACATGATTTTGGTGAACGATCATACACCTCTGTATTGACACAACATGAAATAGTAGAGACTTATCTAAGATGAAACTATAAAAGGGTTTCGGAACGGGCATGTGGTCATGGATAACACGTCTTAGACAAGTACGACTGAGACATTCAACATGAGGTCATAAGCAACACGTCTTGAACAAGCATGACTGTGACACCATGCATGCCTTTGGTAGCTAGTATTTATTGTTCGGCCTGATTTTCTTCATTTTTTTTACCTAATTCACCATAGAAACGATCTTGTCTTCATATACATTTATATCTTCAACTTAGCGAAGCTAATTTCGACCCTTAAATAATCAAAATGTCTATTTTAGTATCATAATATCGAACACGATATTATACAAATAACTTTATTGAAACATCGACATAATTTTATATTAAAATATTTTTCATTAAATCTATTAATTTTATATTAAAAATTAAAATGAATAGGGACCAAAATTGGCAAAAAAAGGTAAAAGTATAGGACAAGCTAAGGATGGAGGGACACGTGCCTGTCTTAGCCTCTCCGATACGTGGACAGAGATAATTAGATAATGAAACAACACTTTGTAATTAATGTCCCAAATATAGCCTCGAATAATGAACTTTATTACAGAATCTGCCACTGCAATTGGCACGTGCCGACAAAAAATGTCAGGAAAAAAAGCAGAGGGAAAGGGGTAGAAGTGGAAATTTACATTTTCGGAGATTTTGAGGCCAAAGCAAACCCCACTCAATCTCTCCTCGGACCATAAAAGAAGATTTTGGTGGGTCTACGTAATTATTCATAAAATAATTTTTATTTTTAATACTAAAAAATAAATCACTAATTATCACTTCAAAATCATTAATTTAACGGGTTAATGGAGAAATTTGATCAGTGGGCTCGTAGGTAGTTTGAGCTAGCCTATAAAAGAAATATCAGTTCAATTCAACACTCGAGTGCTTGAGGTAATAGTAACGTGCATGAAGTCATGTCGAGTTGAGCTGAATTTAGGTTGCATATCGTAAATGAGTCTCGAGGTGCTCGTTTTGCTTCTTCTAAAAATATGAGTCTTAATAGATCTCTCGTGTCTTCTTTCAAAGGTATGTTCGTGGGCTTGCACACATGTTGATCGACGCATTTTAAACATGTGTTTGCTTCTTCGTTCTTAATGATTTGGTTTGTGTCTCTATGTTAGATGGTTTGTGGACAGTTGAATTTTGTTTGGATTAAAAGCTCCAAAATTTGAACTTGCAAAGGTCTCCTATGGCTAGGGATCCCATGACTTAGCTAGGACCACAAAACTTATGGCAATTTAATAATGCATTGCATCATCCCATCTACATTTACATCAATTAAAAAAATCAAATACGAACGTAAACCCTAATAATAATAATCAATGGTTCTTGTACTTGAGAACATATTCGAACCCTGATACGATGGTTCATAGTTACGTGCACTTAATTGTTCTAAGCTGCAAATCTCACATCGTCATTATTTAAACATGTTCTAAGATTTTTCTTAGGATGGTTGGTTTTTCGATTGGTTACGAGCAAGGAGTTCAAACGCTTAACACATCGGTTTATATCCAAGTGTTATGATCCTCTAAGCTACAAGTCCATTTCATCACTACTAAATCAATAGGTTTAGAAAGTTGAGAGATCAGGGTTTTGATCGACGATGTGTTATGTGAGATCCCACATCAGTTGAAGAGGGGAACAAAACATTTCTTATAAGGGTGTAGAAACCTTTCCCTAACAGACGCGTTTGAAAATCGTGCAGCGATACGTAATAGGTCAAAGCAGACAATGTCTGTTAATAGTGGACTTCGACTGTTATAAATGGTACAGTATGCCAACGAAGATGCTGGGAGAGTGGATTGTGAGATCTCACATCGGTTGAAGCGGAGAGCGAAACATTTCTTATAAGAATATGGAAACCTCTCCCTAACAGATGCGTTTTAAAACTGTGAAGCTGACGATGATACATAACGAGTCAAAACGGACAATATCTACTAACGGTGGACTTGAACTCTTACATTTTAAGACGGAAAAAAAGGTTTTGCATCGGATTGAATGTGACAAAAAGGGTGGCCAGTACTTAACCCAAAGCTAAACCAAGCATTGAACCACTTAGTACTTGCCTATTACCATAAACACACACAGCCGCCTCCACATTATCATCATCCTTACCTTTTCTCAAGCTCATCTTTTGTTGCCCTTGAATGCTTTAAACCAGACCAAGAATGACACCCTTCCTGATAGGCATATTTTTAGCTTGGCCAGCATGTGATTGGGTAAGTGTACATCTTAAGCCTTAACCCACAAGTTCTTTCTTTATTTCCTTAACGCCTTGGCCATCCACCCCTTTTCTTTTGCTCCCTTGACAGCCCACTTTATTGGGATTTAATGGAATCTATGTCAGTGAATGAAGTGGAAAGAACAAACCAATTCACTTCTGCTACACTTGTTTGGGAACACCTTCTTTCCCTTCATTCAGCTCCCTCTTTCCCTTCCATTTTTACTCTCTTCTTCCCCCCAATCTCCACCTTTTTGGGAACTTCCAAGTTCCAATCTTCTTGGAAGACAGTTTTTGCAGAGACAGAGGTTGAGAAAATGGCATCATCAACCTCAGGATCATCGAAGAGAGCTCGAGGAGCTAACAATGCCGGGAGTCAGCCAGTTTCTTGCCTTGTTGATGGCTGCAATTCAGATCTAAGCAACTGTCGGGATTACCACCGCCGTCATAAGGTTTGTGAGCTGCATTCTAAGACTCCTCAGGTTACCATTGGTGGCCTGAAACAGAGGTTCTGTCAGCAGTGTAGCAGGTAACTTTGTTGGTGTTTTTGTTCTCTGTCGGCAACTTTTGAGCACTACCCATTATTCTATTCTTGTTGAAAAGCTCCGAGGAACTGTTTTTTGTGCTTTGTGTTGACTAATCAGCTGAGGTTTTGTGGAATTTGCAGCGATTTTGAGTGCTCTGTTCTTCTTAGAGAGCTTAAAAGTGGACTGGATTTTGGTCATTTTAAAGGCTTAGGTGTTATTGAATTCCTGTTTGCTCTGTTTTTTTGTTGTTGTTTTATTTTAGGTTTCATTCACTTGAGGAATTTGATGAGGGAAAAAGGAGCTGTCGGAAACGACTGGATGGCCACAACCGCCGTCGGAGGAAGCCTCAGACTGACCTCTTGCCTCGATCTGCTGGGCCTTTCTCGTATCATCAAGGTTAGATTTTTCTTACCCTTTTGAAGGAAGCTGAAGTTTTCATAAGAAATGGCTAGATTTTGTTGGGTTTTAAACGGATCACATGTGTTTTGGGTAGTGGAATGAAGATTTGTTCTAAATGTTTGACACGTTTTAAAATCGAAGCACCGAATACAAATTCCAAAGAGAATAAATTGTGTGCGCCCAAAAGTGGATTGTGAGATCTCACATTGATTGTAGAGAAGAACTAAGCATTCCAAAGAGTGTAGAAACCTCTGAAGTAAAAGCCCAATATGGGTTTGAGCTCTTACAAATGCTATGTATTAGGGCTGCATGTCATTGAGGATTGTGGGCGCTCAAGGGTGCGGATTCTAAGATCCCACCTCGATTGGAGAGAGAGGATACAAATGATATCAGAGTTAGTCTCTGGACCGTGTGTCAGTGAGGATTGTGGGCGCCCGAAGATGTAGATTCTAAGATTCCACATCAATTGGAGAAATAAAGAAATCATTCTTTGGACTTAAAAACTTCTACTAGACGTGTTTTTAAACCAATCTTTAACTGATCTTAATGTGTTTAATTCTTGCAGGTTCTCACTTGTTGCCATATACAAGAGCACAAGTTTACCCATCGACCACCGTGAGCAGCCACGGCTGGTCCTCCACCGGAGAGACAGCCGGCCTTCACAGGGACCAACAACTAAATTTCCTCGAAAAACAGAGCCTGTTTGTGGAACAATCCCACCACAGCAACAACTACAAAACGGCGCAAACACTGGCCTTCATGCACGGCGGCCCGACAACAACATGTCAACCCCTCCTCCGGTCCATGAATACCCTGTCAGAAAACGGCGGCGGAGGCGGCGGCGGTGGGGAAAGAAACAAGATGATTTATGACAGGTTCAGAATTGGGGTTAGTGAATCAGATTGTGCTCTCTCTCTTCTGTCATCACCACAGGCTCAGACTGATCATCAGCCGCAGCCGCAGCAGGCGGAGAGTGGTTCTTCTGGGCATTTGGATTTGAGCAGAATCGAACAGCATCAGCGGAGCGCCGCCGTTTCTCTGCTGCAGCCATTGAGCCACCACCATAGCCATAACAGTTATGAGAATTCTGATTCTGACAATCATGGAGGGGCCCTTAATTTCCCCGGGATCTTTGGAATTGCCTCCGAGAATGCTGGAAATGAATCCCCTTCCACCCTCCCATTTCATTGGGAGTAGAATTTTGTTGATTTGATTTAATTAACACCCATTTTTATTAGTATGTTCCTCAAAAGACTCTTTGAATTTGTTAAGTTTCACTCCTTTAATTTTGGTTTATATGATTTCAATTTAGTCAATATAATTGAAGATGTTAAAAGCTTTGCCCAATTCAACACTTTCAAAGAAAGGTAGTCGATCGAGACTTCGTTGTCGTTTGCACGGTGGCTTAACATAACATACATGACATATAGTCGGATAGGACGCTCTATATCTGGGTTTAGGGTATAAAGTATTGTCGTCAGCTTCATAATTTTAAAACAGGTTCTACATATTTATAAGCAGTGTTTTGTTCTCATTTTGAAGAGATGTGAGGTATCACAATCTACCCTTCTTGGAAATACTCCATTCACTTTTCGAAGGGATGTGGGATATTACAATCCATAATGTTGGCACACAGCTCTGTCTACTAGGGAGAGGTTTTCACACCCTTATAAAAAAATGTTTTGTTCCCCCTTTTTCAATCGAGGTAAGATCTCACAATCCATCTCCTTAGGGTCCAGAGTTCTCGTTGGTACGCCGCTCTAGTTTACTAGGGAGGTTTCCACATCTATATAAGAAATAATTTGTTTTTCTTCCCACCTGATGTGGGATCTCACAATCCATCATCACTTGAGAATGCTTTGTTCCCTTTTCCAAAGGCGTAAAATCTCACAATTCACCTCTCCTTGGAGTCCAACATCCTCGCAAGTTCACCACAAGGTATTTGACTTTAATACCATTTGTAATTATCTAAGTCCACCGCTAGTAGATATTGTCCGTATTAACCCATTACATCTAGTCGTTAGCCTCACAATTTTAAAATACGAGAGATTTTCACACGGTTATAAAATTTAAAATTTAAATTTTCGTTTTTCACCAACAATCAAGAATGCTTCTTTTTTTTTTTCTTCTTTTTTCTTGGGCTTACTTTTGCTATCATTTTGCTTCTCTTTTTCTATCTTTTCATCCATAATTGTGTTCATTATTTTCACTTTCTTTATGACAACTCACAAGATTCCGATTAATTTTGATGATGGCTGGGTAAATTCTTAAACCCCATCTACATTAATTACTGTAGTAAAAAAAAAAAAAAAACATGCTAATATATTCAATTGACTATAAATTAACGACTAATTTTAAAGTTTGAAGTTCGTATTTATTTAGTAACTGATCTTTTAAATAAAAATTTAATTCAAAATTTAAAATTTATGAATATATTAAACCCGAAATCAAAATTTTACTTTTTATGCGGCATAAATTTTATTAAAATAAAGATAATCAGATATTCAAAATTTTAGGATATATTAGAAATTTTTTAAAAGTTGAGGGGTGAAAAAAATATTAAAGAAAAAGTTTGGAGCAATCTGCAAAAATTGGAAAGGGCCAAGAGACGTTGGAATTCAAAGTTTAGGGAGCAATCAGCAAAAATTGGAAAAAGTCCAAAACACATTGGAATTCAAAGAGAATCCCCTCAAAGACGAAATTCAGGAAACGGTTCTTTAGGGATTAAAATCCCATGTTTTCAGGTACACGTTATCAAGTTATGAGCTCCGTCCGATCTCATGATCCAGATTTTACCTTCCAATCGTGTGGCTCATATTTCGTTTCCAAATGGATCACACTTTTCTATTGGTTTGTTTCATTTATTTAAAGTAAATTATAAGTTTTTTTTTTATTATATATTTTATTATTATTAAATTCATTGGTGAGAAACGCCGTCGTTTCAGTCTCACCTACCACTCACGCCAAAATCTATATAAATCTGCCAAAACGGAACTGAAGATTTTCAGGAAACGAAGAGAAACAGAGAAAAAACCGTCCAAATTAAACGTCTGTTTCACTGTCAATGGAGACGGTCATCGGAGCAGGGGGAGTAGGTGGTGGCGGCGGAGGAGGAGGAATTCCTCCGTTGAACGACGACATTCTTCGCAACATCATAGGCAGACTTCCGGCTCGATCCTTCGCATCGGCGGCCTGCGTTTGTAAAACATGGAACTCCGTTTGCAATCGGATCCTCTGCCGCCCTAAATTCTCCTCCGCCGTGTCCCTCAATCCCTCTCTTCACGTTCGCCTTGTTCCTCTTTTATTTCTTTCGTCAATTTACTGATTGGTAATACTCGGCGTTTGATTTTCCGATGAACGGATGTATCAATTGCTCTGGCTGTCGTGTAATTTGGTTGCAGGTTGCGGTAGAGGAGGTCCTTCAGAAAGTTCTGTCGGAGCCGATTCGGCCGCATTTCGCTATTGCCTGTATCGGCGTGGAGTTCAATCTGGAAGCCGTTCACCATCTCGTATTTCTCTCATCCCTAATTTTAATCAAATTGTGTATCCTTTCATGGTCTAATTAATTAGGGTTTCGTTAGATCACTAAGGAATTGGGCTCAAGAACTCCTGTGATAACAAACGCAGCGAGAGGCATAATGGGCTTAGATGCATTAACCAATGAAGTCAAGGAGGTTTGAGCTTTAACCTAAACATTTATACACATTTAGACGTTTTTGCTAAGTTTCACAAACAAAATCCACAGGTTAAATGGGAATCAGTAGCTGATTATGATCTTGAAACTCAAGAATACAATTCAATCTTCAATCGAAATCGAGGCATCGTCCTGGCTGTCGGGTTTCTGCCCGGATTTAAGATCGATGAAATCTCGCTCCCTCGTTCGAACAAGGTAAATACTATAGAAATGTCGATGAAAATATGGATAAAATAGATGTCGAACAAACAAATAGAACCATTTTCAGGTGTTTCAAGGAGCCATGGTTGACAAGTTTATAATGGATATCAAGGACTTCACTGCCTCTGTCTCTGATTCCACATCTCCTTCCTGTATCATATTATTTGGAGTAAGTATTTGAAATGACTTTTCAAATGCTTAAAAACAACTTTTTTAATCCGAACGAATGAATCTTTGAGCTCTTGACTTGTTTTTCAAATGCATTCTATGGCTGCTGATTATGTTGCAGGATCATCTTGTGGATATTAAACCCATCCTTGCTAAGCTGGGTAAGTAGATAACCAATCAATTTGCAGGTTACTCATTACTCAATCCTTTTTGACAATTGTTGGTTCGACTTCAGATTCTGCTATGGATGAAGAGACAGTGATTGTGGGCGATGCATGTGGCTTTTTCTTGAGCAGAAGCAGAAGAACAATCAACAGTATTGAAGGGGTTTCCCTTGATACTGTAGCTTTAGTACTTGCAAGTGACAAAATCAAGCCTCAAGGTAGCAACCATTTACTTTGACTGTCTTGGGAAAGTTGGCTCCGATGCTGTAATAGCCCCCAAGCCAAGCGGATAGTTAGTAGATATTGTCCTTTTTGGGTTTTCCTTTTTGAGCTTCTCCTCAAGATTTTTAAAACACCTATAAAGAGGTTTTCACACCCTCAGTTTCCACATCCCTTATGAAGAATGCTTTGTTCTCCTCAACCTCCCCAACCGATATGAGATCTCACAATCCACCCTATGCTCAGCATCTGGCACATCGCCTGGTGTCCACCCCCTTCGTCCCCGTATTTGACTCTGATATCATTTGTAACAGCACAAGTCCACCGCTAACAGATATTGTCGATTTTTCCTTTTTGGCTTACCCTTTTGAGTTTCCCTTCAATATTTTTTAAAACGCCTCTGCTAGTGAGAGGTTTCCACTCTTATAAAAAATGTTTCGTTCTACTATCCAGCAGATGTGGGGATCTTACTGACAAATATCAGCTGCATGTGGGCTCTTTAGAGTTCTTTAAAGGCCTTTGTTCTTATAGAACTGTTGCTTTGTTTATAGGTTTAGGTGAAACAAGTTTCCATTTCACATCATCGACTGGAACAATCCCTTTTGGGCCAGAGTTGAGAGCTGCATCCACAAAAGTAAGAGGGTCGAGATTCACGTGGCTATCTGCATTAATGGAAGGAGATGATGAGATCCTTTATGGGCATAGCATCCTAAAGGCTCTCAAGGAAGAGGTGCCCGGATTTGTGGCTTCATTTTCGTTAACTTTCTGGGTTTTGAGTGTCTCATAAGTTGAAATTGCAGATTAAATACGACGATTTGGAAACTGATCTGTTCATTGGGGTCAGGCAAAACAGAGAACACACCATTGGTTCACAAAACTTGGGTCCTTCAACATCCTTGGCCATGTACAAAGTTTTAGGGTAAGCCCTTTTCATCTCTAAATCGATAAAGTCTTATAAATAGTTTTCATAGTTAGGCATCCCACTTGGACTCAAACTGAGATCGGTTATGGTTAGATCACTCAGGTTCGAGTCCTTAAGTTGTGACAATTGCCCCATGAAAGCTTACTTTCGCTAAGGCTTCCTCATATAGGTTTTAAGGTAAAATGAAAGGTTGGTGTGGGATTTGAACTTAGTTTTTATTTGGTAATTTGGACGATCGAGCGATGTTAATGTTGGTGTCTAGTAATTTGGACGATTGAGAGATGTTAATGTTGGTTCCTTCGAGGTTTTAAAACGCGCTCGGAAAGGTTTTTCACTCTTATAAAGAATGTTTCCTTCCTTCTCCTACCGATGTGGGATCTCATAGTGTCGGTGACGGTGTCAGTTCCAGCATTGGTGGTGGAGGGAAAGGGAGAGGGTGGGGCTAGGGTTTGGGGAAAATGGGAGAAAAACTACAAAATCTTGAAGTATTAATACATAGATATACCTTTGAAATACCACAAATTTTGAACAGAGGAGACAAGGAGTATTTTGTAGTGGATGGCGTTGGAATCAGGCCAGGAGATTCCTTCCTATTCTACCATTCAGATTCCCAAACTGCTGCTTCTTCTTCCTACATTGCATTGGAACATCTTGCAACTCTAAAGCCACTGCCCATAACCAGAGCCACTGCAAATTCTAACACTGCCCCCCAGATGAATCAAGTTTTTGGTGGCCTCATTTTCTCCTGCCATTGTCGAGGACCGGCCTATTTTGGACGTCCAAACGTCAATACATCGCCCTTTACTGAAAACTTCCCAGGAGTTCCGTTTGCCGGGGTGTTTTGTGCCAAGGAAATCGGTCGGGCCTTTACTAGGTCGATTAGGATGGAGGAGAAGGAGGAGGAGGAATATGACGAGGATGACGACGATGATGACGACGACGACGA